AACTTTCCTTTTTAATACTCCCTCCGTTTTTTTACATGTCGTATTAGGTAGGTTTGTCCTAAGTCAAACATTTGTATCTTTCACCATTGATTTCAAAAGAATTTATGTTAGGTTCATGACATAAGATTTATGTTTTTAGATTCCCTATGAGAAATACTTTCATAATATATAATTCATATGTTGTGAAACTATAAGGATTTTTTTGAAATATATGGTCAAAGATAATAATGTTTGACTTTGGACAGCTAATGTGACATGTAAAAAAGAACAGAGTATTATTGAAAATATGATTGCTCTGTGGGGGAATAAGATGTACGCGACTCTGGACTTAAATACAAATGTGGATGAGTTGCAAAAGCTACCAATCAAAGATGCCTTAGCCTGGGGATTTATGAGTTGCCCACTGAGAACCCAGTTTGAAGTTAGCTACAAGAACTAGCATCTGAGTCCTCCTATTGCTTGGTGTTGAATTTGTTATATTTTTCATAGGGATGCAATCTGCTTGAAGTTTTGGTTCATCAATTTCAAATATTCTTTTTGGGCCCAATTCTTGTCAAACTCTTAGTTATAAAGGCTATTTTTGAAGAATGGAATTAGTTGACCTATACATAAAGAAGCAAAATTTGCAACTTAGTTTGATAGGAATTTTGATGCCAAAGAAAACCTACTTGTTTTTATGTGTGTTATTGTTCTACTTATCTGGATGTTGGGTAAAAAGATCACGCAAGCATCAAAGTTCGAACACAAGTCAAAGTTGTATTCATTTCGTGATCGTACTGTACATGTCAGAGGGGGTATTTATAGAGGTCCCAATCTTCGTATTTTATACACAAATGACCATTTTACCCCCAATTCAAATCATTACAACCCTTTTCAACTACAAGGGCGAAGTGGTCTTTTTCTCCATCTAAGCCTTCATTCTTCAACTTTTGTTCATCAATCTTCTTAATGACTTCGTCTTTTGGACTCAGTTGACTTTGCTCCGTCGTCTTCTGTCTTCAATTGTTAAGCGAAGTCAAACTCTTGCCTTCGCTCAGTCTTGTTTCAGTCTTCTCTTCTCGTTTGGCGAAGACGAAGTTTTCCTCAGCGAAGACGAACTCTTCTCAGCGAAGTCGAATTTTCATCTTCGCTTTGTTTCTTTCCCAGCAGGCAAACTTTGATATGATCAAATTGCATTTTTTAACTCCGAAGTTTCAAGGGCCGAGTTTTCTTGGCGAAGTCAAAACCCCAACACTGGGCTTATGGCCCTTTGAATTTTACTTGTGCTATGTGGACATGTAATTTTCTGCTTCTGCTAACACTTAGTTGATCAAATAAAACAGGAGCAACTCCAAAAGGAGTTCTAAGAATTATGGGTGTACAAGGATTAACAATATACCATGTAAAAAGTCACTTGCAGGTATATTTTTTCAGTGTGAGACTTGCCTTTTAACAGTTGTTATTTGTCACTTTCATTGTTTACTTCTTTAACTCCTCCGTTCATGTTTCAGAAATACAGGCTAGCAAAGTATATTCCTGATGCTTCAACTGATGGTAGGTGTCTAAATTCATCACCATATGTGTGATACTACAGTATTGTTTTAGTTCTTCCTAATTTGTATCTCATGTAGGGAACAAGGCCGATAACAAAGACCCAGGGGATTTGCTTGCTGGACTTGAGGGATCCTCGTATGAACACAATTCTAATTCCTTTTAATTTTACTGAAGGACATAATTCAAAATCTAGTTACTTATTCCCTTATGAGTCATTTTTAGTGGAATTTTACTGGCCTTGTGGCATGTCATAAGATGGAAGTATGATAATCTATGCTAGATTTTACAATTTACTAAGAAAAATACATGTACTATAATGAATGCACTTGACTTTATGTGATTAGTTACTGTTATAACAATAATGCTGAAGCTGTAAAGTTTGGTGTGAACTTATTGAAATTGTAGTCGCTCCTATTTTAGAGTGATTTCTGCAAAAATGAAATTGACTACTTTATTGCATCCAGATGTTACTTTCACCGCTTCACAAAAAAATGTTGATTCCATCTGCTCATTAGTTTTGACCTTTAATATCGTAAGGTGCATAACTGTTAGACAGGAAATACAGAAAGGTCAAAATAACTTCAAAACTGAACAATAACATTTTTTATTTCTTCTAATGAAAATAGATTTTCCATTTTAGTCCCTTTTATTTCTTTTATACTAGACTAGATATCTTTTTTACGTAAGGACCTTCCATCATATAAGTTTTTGTTCACAGTGGATTGCCGATATCTGAAGCCCTCAAGCTGCAGATGGAGGTCCAAAAGCGGCTGCACGAACAGTTAGAAGTAAGTTTTTCCTGGATGTTCTACCCTTTAGTTTTTGTTGTCTTCATAATGTAGATCTGAGACACATACAAGGATACAGATATTTCTTCTAAAGGAATTTATTTATTGAACATATTTGTGGTACCATAGGGGTAGGCGGTAGGCCCTTAGTTGCATACTGCAACTGGGCCTCTCTTGTTACTAAGGGTGTGTTTGGTTGCTAAATGGGGCTTGCGTCGTATATCCGGATGAGTGGATGCACGCTAAGTGGAACCGTATTTCAGAAAAAAGATGGTGTTTGGTCAGGTTGCATGAGCGGATGCAAAAAAAACTAGGAAGCTGTTTGGTTACCTATATGAGCGGACGCAACTTGTATGACCTGTGAGACTGATGCGTAGACCCCGCACCTCATCCCTGCATCCATCGGGCTTGGCTGGCCATTAAGCTCGATTTGGGCTGCTCCCCAGAGCCAGGATCCCACCATATATTGCATGAGTGGAGCAGAGTTGGAACAGTGGAAACAAGAATCCAAACAGCTTTCTCTTGAAGCTTATACGGCTGAGCGCATGCAGGGATGGTGGGAGCTGGGTAACCAAACACACCCTAAATGTTTGTACTAGAAATTTGTTTGTAGCTATCCTCTTCCACAGTATCTAAGATAGGCAAATCCTGCACTAAATGAATTGTGCATCCAATTGTTGTTTTCTCATACATTCTTTGTTTATTTATAGCTGATCTTGTTTTTGTGCTGCAAAAATAGTAAAATCGTTTTCATCATCTTATTTGCTAGTGAACAAAATCAATTTGTTCTTAATATTTGTGACCTCAATGGTTCTATTCTATTATTAGTAGCTGCAAGTCTGCAATACACATACTGTTCACATTTTAATTTATAATCTTATTCGTGTTACCAAATTTGCAAAGTTTATTGGTTGAACAATTAGATACTTAGATATTAGATCAATGGACTTAGAATGCTGAGATGGTCTGATTTCACATTTTTTTAGGTACAAAGGCAGCTGCAGTTGCGAATTGAGGCTCAGGGAAAGTACCTCCAGAAGATCATCGAAGAGCAGCAGCGCTTAACAGGTGTGAAATCTGAAACTCCAGCTGGAGGTGCTTCTGTCACAGTATCAAGTGATCAATTCCCAGATTCCGAGCGGACTGAGCCCTCGACCCCTGCACCGACATCCGAGTCTCCAACTCAAGTAGGCGCTTCCAATAGGGACACTGGAGATCGAACTGAAGCAACCAAGAGCACCTGTCATGGTGATTCTCTTTCCCGCCATGAGCCACTAACCCCTGATTCCAACTGCCAGAATGGCTCTCCTGCCGCTAGTCCAAACCATGAAAGGGCAGCAAAGAGGCAGCGAGGCAGTGGCACTGAATTCTTAGATTCCGAGGCTGAGTTTTCCCTTCCACGCCACATCTTTGAGTCAAGCTCGGGCTCAGAGTTCCAACAATACTCAATGTCCTACACAGGACAGTAGCTTGTGATGCTCACATAATCGCTGCATCGTTGCTAGCTTGTTCAGCGCGATGGATAGGCTGATATTTCAAGGAGTGTGTTGTTGGTAGACAAAGCTGTAGGTGTTCAGTGATTGTTTACATGGTATACGTGACAGCTATTTACGTTCCTAGGTTTGTAACATGTATGTCCGTCTGCAGTTCAGTTGAGATGCTTGAAGGCTAAGGTTCTGTTGTGTGTGACCTGTAGACACGAGGCTGTCAGCTTGTATTCTCTTGGTAATCTGTGTCAGCAGAGCGTTAGCATTCAGTCAGTTAATTGAACAGTGCTGTTATCTGTAACGTCTGAGTTTGATCAGAAACTGCAGTTAATTGTGGAAGCGGAACCCAATCACTCCAAGCACGCCAAGAGGCATCGCGACGAGCTCGCCGCCAGGATGGTTTACCTGGTGGCGGCGCTCCAGGCTGAGCAGCAGCAGTAGCCGGAATACTTCGTCTCATTTCTTTGAGTGCAATTTCAAAACCTATTTTCAATTTTGCACATGTGACTACAGCTTTGTACTACGTTGACTGAAATCTCGTCACATTTGAAAAAGTTTATGTCCACAATATTGTCCCATACTATCTTCTTATCATGGAAATCTGATCAGCTAATGAGTTGCGCATCTTTTCCGGCTAAGCTACCACCTTTCTGGATGGATTTTGTTACTTTTCTCACTTTTCCTAAACCATACGAAACAAAAGTTGGACATTACTGATCTCATTGGTTCTTTGGATATCGAAGAGAAGGCGGGAGCAAAAGACTTTGTGACAATTTTGAGAGAAGTTCTGACGCCCATGTGTCACAAAAGAAAAATCCTCAAAATATCTACAATGCAGACAAGAAGAAAACCAAGCAATAGCTCAAACAAAGAATATGACTTCTTTAAGAAGGGCAACTGCATGCTACGTTTGTAGCAAGTCTAGTGATCATGTATATATAGGTGGAAGATTAAGATTATGTATACACGTTAAGCATGTTTATGCTAAGTTAGTTTCAACAACCTCACGTGCCAGTGGAACCGGGCATCAAATGTCCCTTTTGCTTTCCTAAAAGTAAAGCGATCTGTTCGCTGGTTGGTATCTAGGTTGATTTGGGCTGGTTGGTGCTGGTTTTTTTTAGAGTAAAACACTGTTGTCTGATTGAATAAGTCTGGCTGAAACCAATCAGCGAACATAGTGAAGTAAAAGACAATGGCGCACTCGCTAAAGTTTGTTGTGCGCATCAAGCTTCTCAGATTCTATCGGACACGGTATTAATAGTGTTTTGTGCCATTGCCCATTGCTCACGTCACATCTCTCTGTTAAGCAGTGGTTTTGAGCATCTCTCTCGCCAGCTTCAAGTGTTTTGTGCCATTGCCCATTGCTCACATCACATCTCTCTGTTAAGCAGTGGTTTTGAGCATCTTTCTCGCCAGCTTCAAGTTTGCATTGCCTTCATCGTTGCTGCTGCCTGTTGAGTTGAAGAACCTTTGCTTCATCTGGTTGGTAACCTGCGCATCCATCCATCCTCTCCGAGCTGATGATGTCTTACAGTCTCGTCTTTCAAAGTCGAAACTAACACAAAGACTTAATCTTTACCTTCGATCTGTTTCAGTGTTGGATCTCGTGCCTACGCTGTTGCCTGGGCGTCCATGGAGCTGGGCGTGGAGGCAGCACGATGGATGATCGACAAGGCGTTGGGCCCTGTCTCGGGCGGGGTGCTGGAGGCGTGGGCGGCCAGCACCGAGCTGGGTCGCAACATCGAGGCTCTCAGGATGGAGCTGCTGTATGCGGAAGGCATGCTCAAGTTGCTCAACAATGCCCGAGGCCATGGCCTAGGGATGAAGAATCCGGCGCTGTCCGAGCTGCTACAGAAGCTACGGGCCTTGGCGTGCAGGGCCGACGACGCGCTCGATGAGGTCAACTACTTCCGCATCCAGGACGAGCTCGAAGGAACCTACCACGCGGCTGAGGAGCATGAGGGAGGTTGCCTTCGCAACCACGCCCTTAATTCTCGCCACGCCGCCAGAGCCATTGCAAAGATGCTTGGCTTCTCCAAGTGCTCCGCCTGCTTTGCTAGTTTGCTGATGCTACCCACGACGAGCCATATGAAGATACAACAAGCGCAAGAGTCCTCCCGTGTGGTGGACATTGGCCATGTCCATGTGGAAGTGGAACCCATCAACTGGTTAACAACTGCTGCATGAGTAGGATCACCTCTGCTGTCCTTAGCACCATTCATACTGTTGGTAAACAAATTCCACTTCCATGCTACTCGTCAGTTTCATCTGCACAAAGTGCTGCAAACTCCAATGCTACATCCACTGGGCGTCGATTGCTCTGTTGTGCCCAAACCAATAAGACACGACAAAGAGAGCGCGTCTTACAAACACCGAAGATGAAGTTTGATAGGATTGAGATGTCTCGAAAGATGAAGGATATTATAGAGCAGTTAAAGCCTCTATGCGCCACGGTATCCACAATTCTTAATCTAGAATTTCTGGCAGCCAACCTAAACAATAATGGCCAGTACATGGCTACGGGTCGGCCCATAACCACCTCAGAGTCTATAGAGCCTGAATTTTATGGTAGGAAGGACGTCACATGTACGCTTATCAATGACATTACCAAGGGAAAATACCGTCATATGGACGACCTAGCGGTACTCCCAATTGTTGGTCCAGGAGGCATAGGGAAGACGACTTTCACACAACACATATATAAGAAAAACTACATGATCATTTTGAGGTAAAATTGTGGGTTTGTGTATCCGTCAACTTCAATGTGTCAAGATTGCTACAAGAGATTGCAGATAAAATCAAAAAGGAAGGAAATGCTAGTCCAGAAAACCGGATTGAAGAAGGATTAAAATATAAAAGGTTTTTGCTTGTCTTGGATGATATGAGGAGTTGTAGTAATGAGGATGAGTGGAATAGGTTCCTAGTACCCTTTAAGAAAGGACAAACAAAAGACTGTGTTATTCTAGTCACAACTCACAACTCGGTTTCCTGCAGTAGCACAAACGGTTGGAACAACAAATAATTTGATAGACATGAAATGTATAGACGAGGAAGAATTTGAGAAGTTATTCTCTACATATGTGTTTGGCAACAAGAAACCACCAGAGGCTCATATTGAACTATTTGGTATTGGACATGAGATAATTGAAAAACTAAAGGGCTCACCTCTTGCTGCAAAAACTGTTGGAAGATTGCTGAGAAACCACCTTGATTCGGGTCATTGGACTAGAGAGTTTTAGAAAGTAGAGAATGGGAATCACAGAGTGGAGATCATGACATCATGCCAGCACTGAAGCTTAGCTTTGACTATCTCCCTTTTCATCTGCAACAATGTTTTACCTATTGTTCATTGTTTCCAGAAGATTACAAAAATTCAGTGAAGAAGAGATAATTCACTTTTGGATTCACGAGGTGAAAATAAAAAGATTGAAGATATAGGACTAAGTTATTTGACAGAGTTGATTAATCATGGATTTTTTAAAAAGGAAGAAGATGATAATGGGCACACTTATTATGTTATTCATGATCTAATGCGTGAATTAGGGCTAAAGGTTTCAGCAAATGAATGCCTTAGCGTATATAGTTCAAATATGAGATACATACAAATCCTTCCATCGGCCCGCCACTTGTCCATCAACATAGATGATTCAAGTGTCAACGACAGGAAGGCTTTTGATATTTGTAAAGAAGATTTTAGTGTACTAGGAGAAAGAATAAAAGTTGAGAACCTGCACTTGTTGATGCTATTTGGGAAAAACCAAGGTAGCTTTGCGAAGACTTTACATGGTTTGTTCAATAAGGCAAAAGCCCTTCGTGTTATTTTGATATCTGGAGACTGCTTCTATAGCTTCCAAGAGTTATTGCACAACTTTTCGGAATGTATCCATCTTCGGTATCTTCGGGTGAATGACAATCGATTGTATCCAGAAAGGAGTAAACTGGTAGCCTCCAACAATATTTCAAGATTTTATCACATGAGGGTCCTAGATCTGCGAGGATGCAAAGATTGCAACAATTAGCCAAGATATATAACTAACCTTGTAAAACTGCGCCATTTTCTTGTTGAGGACGGTAAAGTGCACTCAGGGATTTCGGAGGTGGGGAAACTGAAGTCATTACACGAGCTAAAAAGATTTGAGGTTGGAAAAAAAGTCAGGGTTTTGAAATGAACCAAATAGGACATCTGCTAGAGCTTTGCGGATCATTGAGGATTGATAATCTTGAAAATGTTGAAGGAAGGGAAGGAGCAGATGAAGCAAAGTTAATGCATAAGAGAAACCTGAATGAGTTAGAATTAAACTGGAGTTCAAAACGGTCTAACATGGGTCCTGCACGTGAAGAACAAGTTCTTGAAGGTCTCAAGCCACCTTGCAATCTTAAGAAACTAAGCATTAGAGGGCATGGAGGTTGTATTTTTCCTTCTTGGTTAGGTCTGAACCTGTCGGTTCAAAATCTGGAATCTCTTGGTCTAGATGGCGTGGACTGGGAAACATTTCCACCTATAGGTGATGGGTTGCAGCTAGTTAATAAGGGCGCTAAAAAAAAAAGAGTAATAGCCCTAGCCAACACTTCATGAATTTGAAAAGAATAGAGCTTGCTAATTTAAAAAGGCTGGAAAGATGGGTTGCTGTTGTTGGTAGCAGTGGTCAATTGTTATTCCATTTGGAAGTACTTATCATTAAAAATTGCCCTGAACTCGTTGAGTTGGCATTTTCAGACAGCCAACAAGATGGAAAAGCATGGCCTCCAAATCTACAAGAGCTCGTGATCCAAGATTGCCGAAAGATGTTGTCCTTGCCTCCTGTTCCTTGGAGAAGCACTCCGTGCTCTGTTGAGATATCAGAAGTTGGTTTAGGCTTCGAGTTGAGACACGGAAAGCTTTTTTTGGATCTACATCATTAGTCTTGGAAATTGTCATTCTGGATAGTAGTGTGAGTCTTAACTGTAAGTCTGAGTTCAGTTCGTTTTGCTTTCTTTTTCAGTTAAGTTCAGAGACACGCATAGAGCTTTTGGATTCTTTCATCATTAGTCTTGGATCGTTGTCATTCGTGGATGGCACAGTAGTTCATGCGTCGTTCTGGAGGAGCAAAGCTTGGACCATTTTCTTTCCGTAAGTCTTCTCTGTAATTAGATATAAATAATAGAGGATAAACAGGAAAAAGCTGCTGCAGTTTGCACGCAACACAAATACCCTGTTCATCGTGCTTGTATTCTCGATGCTTGAGGTTGAGTTGGCCGGAACATTTCCGATGACATTTGGTACCTGAGCCACCAGTTTGCAGTTGAGAAGAAGGAGGTTACTCCATCGCGTTAGCCAAGGCCGCCGCCGCCGAGGCCGCGCTTTTCTCGCCGCTCTCGCTCCGCGGCGGATCGCGCGTGATGGAGCGTCCGTCATGCGGCGCCGCGTCGTGCTACGCGATCCAACTACTAGTGGGCGGGTCATGGAGAACTTCCGGGCGCTCGAGTATGGGGCGTAACACAAGCCATCGACGATGATCTCTTACATGCCCATGGCGGGCATCTGCGGTCCGTATCGCGAGAACTCTGAGCTTCGCCGTCCGGCGCTTTCCTCCTCGGGTTAGCGACGAAGCGTCGCGCGACGCCATGTGACAAGATCTCCGAATCAGGGTTAGGTGTCTTGTTCGCAACCTCCGCACCATCTCGAGGGAGGCGCCTTCGGCGAGGACCGCGGCAAGCGAAGCCGCCACGGATCTTCGCTCCTTCTCACCGAGGAAGATAGGCGCGCCGCAGGCTAGAGAAGAAGGGAGGAAATAAGAAGCGAGGCAGCATGCAACGGCTGCAGCACTAGTAGATTGAGGGGCCCAAGGCGGAGGCCCATGTGCTCTTGCCTCCGTCCCCAACTGCCGACACGGCGCCGCCACCACTCCGAGCTGTGGATTTACTCCTGCCCAGAGCTAGCTACGAACCACATGTCCGGCAACACAACGCCTTCATCGACATCGACACGCGGGTTCGGCTTTCGTCAAGTTTGGCGGCAGGTCGGAGGTCGCCATCGAGGGCTCCGCTCTCTCCTCCGCTCACTGTACTTCATCCCGAGCTCACCCAACATTGACGATTTTTGACGCCAAGCACGCCCCAAGTGGACGCCATCGCGCGTAGCTGCTATGTAGATAAAGATTGCCCGTCCTCTTTCCACCAACAGCGGCGTGGCTCTCGTTTCCCTGCACTTTCGCCCATCCCGCATGTCGACCCGTCCACCAACTCTGCAATCAAGCGAGTCCGTTCCCAAAGCAGCCGGCGTGACCTCCATGCGGACTTGATCACGCCGCCAACTGGATCTGATCGAGCGGTATATGTGGGTGGTTCCGCTTGCCGCTTGAGCGACCACGCTTGCGGCGGTGGCTGCTCGAGTGGAGCGACGGAGACGGGCGGCGATCGCGCTCGGAGAATTCACCTCCGTGGAGTTCGAGCTATCTTCTTGGCGAGAACGGCACTAATTTCTTCTCCGTGCGTGGATTGGTCCCAAAGAGCTCAACTTCCGCTTCCTCCAGCGGTGGCCACTGCTGTGTTCTCGCTCAACCGGCGCCCACAGAACGCTCGACAGCGTCACCCGTTCGAGGCACGAAAGGCAGGAGGCCCAATGTCTCCTTCTTCCGTACCTTCGACTCGTCAAGTCGACAAAGCCGTACTGAAGAAGCTCGACGATCGTGGCACGCCGGTCGTCTTCATCGGCTATGAACTGGCGCCAAGGCATGGCGCTTTACACGACCCGCGTCGAGGCGCCCGTGGTGTCCAGGATGCTTTGTTTTCAATGAGCGAGCACCACGGAGCCGGAAGGACGAGGAGATGAACACGGAGGCTGAGTTCGTGGTGGAGGACAACATCGTGGAGCGGACCTGGCACCACGACGCTGAAACCGGTGGCACTTCGAGGTCCCGTCGGCGCGCGTGTGCGCTCCAGCTCGCCTGCGGCTCAAACTCCCGCGACGTCGCCCGCATCATCTGCGCCGGTCCGTCCACACTGCGCCGCCCACCGATGGAGCTTTCCCAACCTGATTTCGTGTCCCTCCAATCTTTGAGGAGTCTTTGGGGCGCGACACGACGACGTGGAGCCGCTGCTACCGCACCGTCGACAATGTCCTTGGCGCGGAAACTCCACCGCTACGCCATCGCCGCGCCCAAAGTTGCCGCCACTCCACCGCAGATTGAAGAAGAGCCGCCACGCTTCAATTGGCCGAGAAGCACGAAACCTGGCGCAACGCCATGAAGGAGGAGATGGACTCCATCGAGTGCAACAAGACGTGGCGCTGGTGCCACCGCATGCGGTCATCGTCCGATCGGCCTAAAGTGGGTGTTCAAGGTGAAAAAGGATCTTTGCCGGTCTTTGTGGCAAAGTACAGTACAAGGCGCGTCTCGTGGCGAAAGGCTACGCCCAGCAACCCGGCATCGACTTTGATGAGGTGTTCGCTCCGTCGCCGCCGCCAGTGTCGAATCGGTGCGGCTGCGCTGCCGCCTCATCGCCTAGGAGAGGGTGGCGGTGCACCACATGGGCGTGAAGTCCGCGTTCTTGAACGGGGGCTGCGCGAGGAGGTGTACGTTCGCGACCTCCCGGATTAAATCGTCAAGGCGCGGAAGACAAGGTCTGCGCTGGACAAGGCGCTCTATGGTCTCCGCCAGCTCCGCGTGCTGGACGCTTGGCTTCGGCACGCGACGCTGAAGGTGCTCGGCTTCACTCCACGGCGCCTCGGAGCATGCGGTCTATGCCCGTGGGGAAGGCGCGTCGCGGTTCGCGTGGGCGTGTCGTCGACGACCTCATCATCACCGGAACGACAACACCGAGATCGCTCGGTTCAAGCACGAGATCGCTCCATGTTCAAGATGAGTGATCTTGGCCTCTTGTCCTTTTATTTGGGCATTGAGGTGCAGCGGTGGAGGACGGCATCAAGCTCTCACAGGCGGCGTCTGTGCGCAAGATCTGGATCGCAGGGGCATGGGTGGTAGAACCCGTGCCATACTCCGGTGGAGCCTCGCTTTGTCGAAGGCTGTCGAAGGAGAGCACGCAGCCACCGGTGGGCCCATAGTATCGAGGCATTGTCGGCCGCCTCCGGTGTCTGGTGCACACCAGACCCGACATCGCGCTCGGCTACATCAGCCGATTCATGGAGCGCCCAACCACCGAACACCTCAACGCCGTCAAGCGGGTGTCTCCTTAGGTGTCACTACGGTAGCGGGCGGAGGCAAGTTGAAGCTGCTGGGATCGATGGCGCGGACATGGGAGGCGATATCGACACAAGGAAGAGCACTACAGCGTATTGTTCTTTCTTGGTCCCCATCTTGTGTCTGGCGATCCTGAAGCGAAGGTTGTCGCCCTCTCCTCGTGCGAAGCAGAGTACATCGCGGGGACGACGGCGGCATGCCAGGGCACCTGGCTGGCGCAGCTCTTGGCTGACCTGACAAGCGAGCAGCGCGCCGCCTTCCTGTTGAAGATGGACAGTCAATCTGCCATTGCTCTCAGTAAGAATCCTGTCTACCATGATCGAAGTAAGCATATAGATGTTCGATATCATTTTATCCGCGAATGCATTGGTGATGGGAGGATGGATGTTGAGCACGTCCGCACTGAAGAGCAGCTCGCCGACATACTGACCAAGCCGCTAGCACGAGATCGTTTCTGTGAGCTACGTGTTCAGCTTGGTGTCGTCAACGTCGGCAAGGAACTTCAGACTTAGGGGGTGAAATGTGAGTCTTAACTGTAAGTCTGAGTTCAGTTCGTTTTGTTAGCATAGAGCTCGGCTTTGGATTCTTTCCTCCCGAGCGCGTCTTTGTACCGATTCTGTAGGATCGTGGCGTGGACTGGGCGTGTGGGATGGCACATGCAGTAGTGCGGTTCATGGCCACGAATGTCGGTTGGTGCGAGCAAAGCCCGGCCACCATTTTCTTTCCATTGAAGTCTTCTCTGTAATTAGATATAAATAATAGAGGAGCATAAACAGAAAAAGCTGCTGCAGTTTGCACAGCAACAAAAATACCCTGTGTTCATCGTGCTTGTATTCTCAGTACGTGAGGTTGAGAGTTTCTTGGCCGGAACATTTCCGGCTGACAAGTAGTGCGTCGTTCTGGAGGAGCTTGGACTTTGATAACCTAACCGAAGTAAAGGAATGCAGGATGGAGGCACGCCGTCCACCGCTTGATGTTGATGGCCTCCTGAGCCACCAGTTTGCAGTTGAGAGTATGATGAAGCCTCGTGCTACTAGCGGGAAGGAATTAACACAAGTTCTCTCTTACATGCCCAAGCTCTCAGTTTTGACAGTTAGTGAATGTGACAAGATAACAGGGTTAGGTGTCTTGGGGCAGGAGGAGGCGGCGGCGACGGCATCTTCCTCTAGTAGGAGTAGAGAAGAAGGGGAGGAAATAGAAGCAACTGCAGCACTAGTAGAGGAGGGGTTGCTGCTCTTGCCTCCCCAACTACATGAGCTGTGGATTTACTCCTGCCCAGAGCTAAGCCTCCCCAACTACTCGGTGCTCCAGACTCTGCTCTGCTCTCTCTCTCTCCGTTCCTTGACGATTTTTGACTGCCCCAAGTTTCTCAGCTGCTATGTAGATAAAGCCTCGTCGT